AGTTCTGCTCTGATCTTAATTATTTCTTGTCTTCTGGTAGCTTTTGATTTTTTTGATCTTGCTCCTCTAGCTCTTTCAATTTTGATGATAGGATCTGGATTTTAGATCTTTCCTTGCTTCCATTTATTGCTATAAATTTCCCTCTAGACACTGCTTTAAATGTGTCCCAGAGATTCTGGTACATTGTTTGTTCATTCTCATTGGTTTCTAAGAACATCTTTACTTCTGCCTTCATTTCATTGTTTATCCAGTCGACATTCAGGAGCCAGTTGTTCAGTTTCCATGAAGTTGTGAGGTTCTGAGTTAGTTTCTTAATTCTGAGTTCTACTTTAATTTCACTGTTGTCTGATAGACTGTTTGTTATGATTTCCATTCTTTTGCATTTGCTGAGGAGTGATTTCCTTCCAATTATGTGGTCAGTTTTAGAGTAGGTGTCATGCAGTGCTGAGAAGAATGTGGATTTGGGGTGGAGATTTCTGTAAATGTCTATTAGTTCCACTTGGTCCAGATCTGAGTTCAAGTCCTGGATATCCTTGTTAATTTTCTCTCTCGTTGATCTGTCTTACATTGACAGTGGAGTGTTAAAGTCTCCCACTATTATTGTGTGGGAGTCTAAGTCTCTTTGTAGGTCATTAAGAACTTGCTTTATGTATCTGGGTGCTCCTGTATTGGGTGAATATATGTTTAGGATCGTTAGTTCTTGATGCATTGATCCTTTTACCATTATGTAATGCTCTTCTTTGTCTCTTTTGATCTTTGCTGGTTTAAAGTCCATTTTATCAGAGACTAGGATTGCAACTCCTGCTTTTATTTTTGCTCTCCATTTGCCTGATAAATCTTTCTGCATCCCTTTATTTTGAGCCTATATGTGTCCTTGAATGTTTGATGCTTTTCCTGAATACAGCACACTCATGGATTTTGACTTTTTATCCAATTTGCCAGTCCGTGTCTTTTGATTGGGGCATTTAGTCCTTTTACATTTAAGGTTAATATTGTTATATGTGAATTTGATCCTGCCATTTTGCTGCTAGCTGGATGTTTTGCCCACTGGTTGACACATTTTCTTCATTGTGTTGATGCTCCTTACCATTTGGTGCATTTTTGGAGTGGCTGGTACTGGTTGTTCCTTTCCTTGTTTAGTGCTTCTTTCAGGAGTTCTTGTAAGGCAGGCCTGGTGGTGAGGAAATCTCTCTGCAATTGCTTGCCCATAAAGGATTTTCTTTCTCCTTTGCTTATGAAGCTTAGTTTGGCTGGATATGAAATTCTAGGTTGAAATTTCTTTGCTTTAAGGATGTTGAAAATTGGCCCCCACTCTCTTCTGGCTTGTAGGGTTTCTGCAGAGATATTCACTGTGAGTCTGATGGGCTTCCCTTTGTGGGTAACCCGCCCTTTCTCTCTGGCTGTCGTTAGCATTTTTTCCTTCATTTCAACCCTAGTGAATCTGATGATTATGTGCCTTGGGGTTGCTCTTCTTGAGGAATATCTTTGTGGTGTTCTCTGTATTTCCTGGACTTGAATGTTGGCCTGCCTTGCTGGGTTGGGGAAGTTCTCCTGGATGATATCCTGAAGAGTGTTTTCTAGCTTGGATTCATTCTCTTTGTCACATTCAGGTACACCTATGAAATGTAGATTAGGTCTTTTCACATAATCCCATATTTCTTGGAGGCTTTGTTCATTTCTTTTCACTCCTTTCTCTCTAGCCTTGCTCTCTTGTTTTATTTCATTGAGTTGATCTTCAACTCTCTGATATCTTTCTTCTGCTTGGTCGATTCGGCTATTGAAACTTGTGTATGCTTTGTGTTTTTTTATATTTATTATGCATAACTTCTCAAAAGCCCTAAGGATCTTCCATTGCTGATTAGTCTAAAATATAAGAGTGATTAGGGGAAATGGATTAATATGATTTTTTCATTTTTAAAACATAAAGCAAAATTTTAACATTCCTTTGATCATTCGTCACTACATGTGGCTTAGTCTTTTTCTTATGTGGAATTATTTTTAATAGACAAACTATCTTCTCTTCAGTAACCTTTACTTTTCCAAATCAACATTATGCAAAATAATATATATAGCATATGTACATGCGTATATACATACATATACACACAGATATATATATGTGTATGTATATTTCATCTGATGCACAATGGAAGATAGTACCAACATTAGTTTTGTAGAGTTTTCAATTTATAGAAAAAATATTTTGTGTGGTTTAGAATTTTATTTTATATTTCTTTTTCAACTTTTATTTTCAGATTTGGCACTACATCTGCAGATTTGTTGCATGAGTAAATTGCATGTCACTGGGGTTTGGTATACAAATGCTTTGTCACTCAATTAGCGAGGATAGTATTTGATAGGTATTTTTTTCCACCCCCACCTGCCTCCCCCCTCCATCCTCAAATATGTCCTCGTGTCTATTTTTCCTTTGTTTCCATGTGTACTCAATGTTTAGCTCCCACTTATAAGTGATAACGTGTGGTATTTGTTTTTCTGTTCTTGCATTAATTTGCTTAGGACTTTCATCTATGTTGCCGCAAAGAATATGTTTATCCCTTAAAAAAAAAAAAAAAGACACAGTATGTTGTGGTTGCATAATAGTCCATGGTGTATATGTACCACATTTTCTTTACCCAGCCCACCATTGATGGGCATCTAAACTGATTTTATTTCTTTGCTATTGTGAATAATGCTGTGATAAACATATGAGTACATGTGTCTTTTTGGCAGAATAATTTGTATTTCTTTAGGTATATACCCAGTGATGAGATTGCTGGTTTGAGTGGCAGTTCTATTTTAAGTTCCTGGAGAAATCTCCAAGCTACTTTCCACAGTGGCTGAACTAAGTCACCAGTGTATGAATATTCCATTTTCTCTGCAACCTCACCAACATCTGTTATTTTCTGACTTTTAATAATTGCCATTCTGTGAGATGGTAGCTCGCTTGAATTTGATTTGCATTTCTTTGATTAGTGATGTTAAGCATTTTTTCATATGCTTGTGAGCCACATATATGTCTTCTTTTGAGAAGTATTTGTTCACCTTGTTTGCCCAGTTTTTAATGGGGTTGTTGGTTTTTTGCTTGTTGATTTAAGTTCCTTATAGATTGTGAATATTAGATCCTTGTCAGATGCATAGTTTGCTATTATTTTCTCCTTTCTGTAAGTTGTCTATGTAATCTGTTGACAGATTCTTTTATTATGCAGAAGCAATTTATTGCACTTGTCTGTTTTTTTCATCGTTGTTCTTGTTGTAATTGCTTTTGGAAGCTTAGCCATGAAATCTTTGCCAAGGCCTATATCCAGAATGGTACTTCCTAGGTTTTCTTCTAGAGTTTTTATAGGTTTAGGTCTTACATTTAAATCTATAATTCATTTCACATTGATATTTGTATATGGTGAAAGGAAGGGATTCAGTTTTAATCTGCATATGGCTAGCTAGTTATCTCAGTGCCCTCTATTGAACAGGGAGTCCTTTTCCCATTGCATGTTACTGTCAGCTTTGTCGAAGATCAGATTGTTGTAAGTGTGGGGCTTTATTTCTGTGTTCTGTAAGCTGCTTCATTGGTCTATGTGCCTGTTTTTGTACCAGCACCATGCTGTTTTGGTTACTGCAGCCTTGTAGTAGTTTCAAGTTGGATCATGTGATGCCTCTGGCTTTGTTCTTTTTGCTTATGACTATTTTGACTTTAGGCTCCTTTTTGGTTCTATATAAATTTTGCAATACTTTTGTCTAATTCTGTGAAAAATGATGTTGGTAGTTTGTTAGCAATAACATTGAATCTGTAAATCGCTTTATGCAATATGGCCATTTTAACAATATTGATTTTATATTTTAGATCTAACATTTTGGTCTTTGATCCATTTTGAGTTTATTGCTTTATATATATAATTTCAGGTAAAGACTCATGGGGGAGCTTTGTCCTAATAGCAGCAGGGAAACTTGGGAAGCAAATTATTTTAAAGAGTTCATCCCCAGACCAGTAAACCAATATTTCATCTTCCTGAACCTGTTAGTGATTGGCTGAGTGCCTTGGAGAAGGAGAAATAAATGGGATATGTAGATTACACACTGCCATATACATCCCTATTTTATGGTATTTATGGGTACAAAATGGCTCCAATAACCCAAGGGTAGTCCTACTCAGAAGAATTTTAGGAACAAAAACACACCAGAGGTAGGGGAGAATTATACAGAGAGGATAATAGGGATCACAGGTAATCCAGTTTGGGCTACTACAATGTCTCCTTCTGGTGTACATGGAAAGGAGTCCATGCACATATCAAGAATTCAGTAAACATGTGTCTTGGGAGTTAGAAGCAAATTGAAAATATTTCACAGGTTTGTATTTTTACAAATATGAAAATAGTGGTATTGTGTTTGTATGTGTTTTTGTTTTGCCATGACTAGCATAAAACGTTCAGATCAGGAATCTAGACATACTCCCTATAAGGAAAAGATAGAGAAACTACCTAGATTCCCACGATGCCAAGAGCTATTATGAACACTGAGAGAATCCTAAGGGTTGGTTGCCATTTTCCAAGTTCAACCCAGTGAGCCCAACACTTTTCAGATTTGTTGGATTTCCTGGTTTTTTCCTCAGGTAGAATAACAGAATAATTTGATACTCTGAGTGTCAGAGATAGACAAACATAATATTATGTGGACATACCACATTATCAGCCTCATGATGATCTCACTGTAAATGTAGATTTATCATTTTTTTGGGTCTGATTTGCCAGTTCAATGTTTTATACAATCTCTGATTTGGGTGGATATGTTTTTATGCAATTCCCTAACATTCCTTTAAGTAAATTATTACTATTGGTGAAAGTCAAACCAGAATAATCAGCGTACAAAGTAATTGGCCAATCCTATATTAAATACTGAATGGCCTTTATGACCCCAAATTCAAAGTATTTTTGAAACCATATATTGCCCATTCAGAACTCCTAAAGTCCAAAGCCATATCTCATTGCTACCCTGTGATTATTGTCACTAACCTCAGTCAATTTAATACCCTAAAGGTCTCTGTTTTATTACATGATCCTAGAGGCAGACACATATGTACAGCTTTTCTAAGTGCATAAGTAGACTCCTGTTTCTCTTCAGACGATTGGAGTGGACCAACTTTCATAGTTCTCAATATGTCATCTTATTTTTTTCCTAGAGAATGGGTGATTTAACTATTTATTCAAAACAAAACAAACAAACAGACAAAACCTGGGGACATAATGCAGCTTTGAGCGCTACAATATTGAGGCTTATTCTTTGCGGTCAAAAATTCTGAGGTTATGGGGGATCTTATGAAGATGTGTGACAGATGACAGTCATCTTGAGACACTTTATCTCAAAGGTAAGATAGCAAACACAGCTTCCTCACTTTCAGCATAATTTTAGAACACCTTTGTTTTCAATAGATTTGCTCACTGTTTTTCTTCTAGCTTACTTTTGGGATCCTGTACTTCCTCCTGATTTCTGTTTCTCTTCTTCTGCTGGCAGGATTGCTCCCACCCACAACAATCTCCAGGGCCCACAGAGCTGAGGAAATAGTTGTCTGGTGGTGAGGCTGTCTTATTTAATATAGGAGCTGCCCTACTGCTGCCATGTCCCACTGGGACCTCTTAAATCATCTGTCCTCTTTAAATCATTATTTCATGTCAGCTCATCTGTGTGGATTAGGAGAAAGTTGGGTCATTGATAAAATGCATAACACAACTCCCTCATTTCTCCTAAAACAGGAGGCAGTATCTGTAATCTTCAGGAAAACCTTTTTAATCTGAGCTCTGAGAAGCTCCAACATGGAAAGAAGAAGAGATCAACTGAGGTTGAACTGCAAGAGCTGAAAGAAACCTACTCCAGACCCTCCAGGTAGGACACCTTCCCCGGAAAAAGGAAGCTTCTAGTTAGAGGCCATTAAGGACAATGACTACAAAAGTTTACTCATTCTCTTGTGTTTGGATTTTGGTGCAGATTGTTACTTTCACTACAAATAAGACTTTTATAGTATTTAATTCACATTATGATGTTCCAAAACCCTAGATATTAATACTTTTGCCTTCTTGGGCCCCTTCATCTATCAAATGGTAAGATATATATCCCATTGTGTTGTTATAAAGAGAATGTATTATTACTATATGTTAAAAGATGTTCTTCAACTCGAAACAACATGATTTTTCTTCTAATTTTAGAATAAATGAAAACATTTCTGTTTGTGCCCACTACGTGGGGTCCTATGCCCCCCAGTCTTAGCTGATCCAGGCCAAAAACCACAAAACACCATGAATTCAGCAGTTTGTAAACAATAGAAGTGAGCTGTTCTCAGTTCTGGAGTCTGGAAAGAGGCACTGGCCAATTTGTTGTCCAGGGAGGGCTGTTTTCCTAAATCACAAATGTCCCCTCTCTCTGCATCCTCTTATGATACAAGTCACAAGGCAGCTCTCTGGGGCCTGTTTTGTGATGACCCTAATCCCATTTATGAGGGTTCTGTTTTAATAATCTATTAACTCCCAAAATCGTCTACTTCCTAATACCATCACCTTTGGAATTAAGATTTCAATGTAAGTATGTAGGGGAGTGATATGGTTAGGCTTTAGTGTCCCTACCCAAATCTCATCTTGAATTGTAATCCCCATAATCCCTATAATCCTGAGGTGTCGAGGGAGAGATCAAGTGGAGGTAACTGAATAATGGGGGCAGTTTCCCTTATGCTGTTCTTGTGATAGTGAGTTCTCATGAGATCTGGTGGTTTATAAGGGACTTATCACTTCTCCTTCTTGCCACCTTGGGAAGAACGTGCATTGCTTCCCCTTCACATTCTTCCATGATTGTAAGTTTCCAGAGGCCTCCTTGGCCAAGCTTAACTCTGAGTCAATTAAACCTCTTTCCGTTATAAATTACCTAGTCTTGGGCAGTTCTTTATAGCAGCAGTAAAATGAACTAATAGAGGCAGACACAAGCTTTCAGTCCATAACAGGCCCAGTGTGTCCCCGGGATGGAGAAGAAAGGGAATAGAATTTATTAAATAATTTTTCCACATACCTACAACAGACTTACTCATTTTTGAAACTGAATCATTGGGAAAATTAGACCCTGGCTTAGAAATAAGGGGAAGAGAAGCTGGGCACGGTGGCTCATGCCTGTAATTTCAGCACTTTGGGAGGCCAAGGCAAGCAGATCACCTGAGGTCAGGAGTTCAAGACAAGCCTGATCAACATGGAGAAATCCCATCTCTACTTAAAATACAAAATTAGCTGGGCATGGTGGCACATGCCTATAATCCCAGCTATTTGGGAGGCTGAGGTGGGAGAATCACTTGAACCCAGGAGGTGGAGTTTGCAGTGAGACGAGATTACCCCATTGCATTCCAGCCTGGACAACAAGAGCAAAACTCCATCTCAAAAAAAAAAAAAAAAAAAAAAAAATGAAGAAGAAGAAAGAAAAGAAAGAAAGAAAGGAAGGAAGGAAGGAAGGAATAATCTTTTCTGAAATGAAAACTGCTGTGGTTTCAATGTCTTCCCCAAACTTCATGTGTTGGAAACTTAATGCACATTACAGTGTTGATAGAGGTGGGACATTTAAGAGGTGATTACGTCATGAGCAGTCTGCCCTCATAAATGGATTAATGCCATTATCATAGGAGAGGGGTCCTTATAAAAGTGGGTGTTTGGCTTGCTTCTCTCTCTCTCTCACCAGTGTGATACCTTTGTCATGTTATAACATAGCAAGACAACCCTCACCAGAGACAGTCCCTCAGCTTCAGATTCCTAACCTCCAGAATCGTTAAATAAATTTCTGTTCTTATAAAGAACATAGTCTATGGTATTCTGCTATAACAGCATAAAAAAGACTGGGACAAGAACTCATGGTTGTTTTTTTTTTTTGAGTTTTGCAAAGGTTTATAACCCTCCATTAGCATAATATGATCAATATGCTATGACTTTCTCAGCTACTTTCTCTAAAGTAAATGGATTAATAAACTAATTTTTAAAACATGCCGTCTGAGCAGAGTGAGCGTATCAAAACATTCAGCAGTGCCTTCAGAAACACAGCTTTTGCATGAAACTAGAGAAGTGGACACTCTACTACAGAACTCTAGAGATCTGAGAGCTTACTGTTTTGCTTCTGTGGACTGCAAATAAATTCCTGAAAGGCTTCTGTACTTGTTCAGAGAGTTCTTTATCTCTCTGGATTAGGTTCAGACATTTCTTGGAGTCAAAAATTTCAATGGGCACTTAACCCCAACCATCTCCCAGATCACATCTCCTATGGTCTTCCTTATATTTGATTCCTAGCCAGTAATCCTAATCATATCCTATAACATTCTACTACACTCTTCTGGTGGTCTCTGGGTTAATTTAGCTCAAGTTCTATAATTCTGTCCATTCTCCTACTTTAGGTCTCAGGTCCTCTTCCTTTGTATACAAGGTTCCCAACTCTTCCCACCTTAATTGGGATGGGCCTGAGTAAAACAGAGTAACCCAGGGGCCATGAGACAGAGTTTTACTGATTTGTATCACAGTCCTGCAAGGTGACTCATGGGGAGGCTAATCTTTAAGCTTTGCAGAAAAACCATGCAGAAAGGTGCCTCTGTGTTAAACTCAACTTCTGACACCATAGACCTTATAATATTGTCCAGTTATTTTCTTCTCTGATGCTTATAAAGAATTGCTGGCATTTCTTCATGATTCATTCTAAATTCAAAGTCTCAGTGTTCACATTATATTGTCATAACCAGTTTTACATAAAGGTCTCTCAAGTGTTCTCAGTATTTAAGAGCAAGAAGAGTATCAGTCAGGCTTGGACTGAAAGAACTGAGAGGCTACACACTAAGGACATGGGCTAAATCATCATTTTAAAAGTTTTTTTTTGTTTGTTTGTTTTTTTGTTTTTTTTTTTTTTTTACAGAATATCCAAGTCACGATCAAGATTATGGCTGACAGCAGGCTCTCATGCAAAATGAAGGCCCTGAAGGTGAAAAATGAGCACAATTCTTTATAAAAGGGGAAGTATTAGGAGATTTGCTCAGGGCACTTACCTCTCTAAACTTAGTTTCATTATTTGAAAATCAGGATAATAATCTCAAGCTTGTAGTAGGGTTGATAGAATTAAGCAAGAGAACCTTTATAAATGCTTTGAAAGGGTGCCTGACACATATCAGGCACTTAATAAAATTTTAATTTTCTAGTTTTAAAAAAGACAGACTTTGACCTTGGATACAATAATCAAAAAGCCTAGAGTTCTACTTACTCTAAAGAGAAGTCTTTACTTAGAAGCCAGCATTTTCTAACTACGTCTCTGGTAATAATGTCTGAATTGATCTTTGGCTCTACTGTCTCCTATTTTTTTTTTTTTTTATAGACAGATTCTTGCTCCACTGCCCAGGTTGGAGTGCAGCGACACAATCATAGCTCACTGCAGCCTCCAACTATTGAGCTAAAGTGATTCTTCTTCCTCAGCCTCCTAGGTAGCTGGGACTCCACACATGTGCCACGATGCTAATTTTTAATATATTTTTTTGTAGAGGCAGGGTCTCAATTTGTTGACCAGGCTGGTCATGAACTCCTAGCCTCATGTGATCCTCCCACCTAGACCTCTCAAAGGATTTGATCCACAGGATTTGAGCCACCACACCTGGCCCTATCTCTTCTTTCAATGGTTTCATTCTATTTTCAAAGTTATCTTCTTACACTAGAGAATGTTATTAGCACATATAATCCAAGGCCTCTATTGCCAACCTATAGCAGTAGCCTCATATGTCACTATATCTTCCTATATACTATATATTTTCAAATGACCAGGTTACTTGCAATCTTCCCAGTGCTTTTTCATGTTACTGTTCAAGTTGTTTCATCAACTTGGAATGCTTTTAAAAAGTCTATCTGGATAGGCACGGTGGCTCACACCTGTAACCCCAGCACTTTGGGAGGCCAACGTGGGCAGATCACGAGGTCAAGAAATCTAGACCATCCTGGCAACATGGTGAAACCCCATCTCTACTAAAAACACAAAAATTACCTGGGCTTGGTGGCACATGCCTGTAGTCCCAGCTACTCAGAAGGCTGAGGCAGGAGAATTGCTTGAACACAGGAGGCAGAGGTTGCAGTAAACCGAGATCATGCCAGCCTGGGCAACACAGCAAGACTCTGTCTCAAAAAAAAAAAAAAGTCTATCTGTTACAACTACCACCATTACTCAAATTTCTTACACACTCATTCTCAGGGTTAACATGAGATTTGCCTTTCTCTCTTCTGTTGGTATCTGGCTTAATTTAGCTCAAGTTTCAAAATTCTTTTCACTCTCCTACTTTAGGTCTCAGCTCCTCTCCCCTTGCATGCAAGGTTCTCAACTCTTCCCACCTTAATTGGGATAGGCCTGAGTAAAATATTCCTCAACAGTATCTTCTTCTCTTTGTTCTAATTCCACATTAGTTTTCTTATTACATATTAGGTGTCCAAGGTAGCTTGACACTAGGAAACAATGTGCCTTGGAGAAGGGACAAAAGTATTCTGGTTAATGGAAAGTATTAAGCACCACTATAAATTAATGACTCTGCTTTGTGATCTATATCTCAATCCTATGAGCAATTTTTGTTAATCTAGCACCAAGAAGCTGATCATTTTAAGGAAATTCATAAGATAAAATTTTTGGACCATCAACGCTAAAAGTCAAAGGATGGACTTTAGTCAGTTGAGCTAGTTGTCCTTCATTTGTGGCCTGTTAGTGTCCAATCAGCCCATTACCACTGTCTCACCACATGTTTATTTAATCCCAGGAAGGAATATAATGTTTTTTATAAAAGTGAAGAGAAGATATTTAGGGTATCAAAGGGTTGACTAAATCAACTCTTAAGTTGGAATAAGAATTGCTTCAACAACTATGAGATAATGGATTTAATATTTAAAATTCTTCCTCTCAAATGTTTTCAACCAGAAGATAAATAAAAATTTGTCCAGTGTTGGGATTTGATATCAATGCCAACTTCCTTATATAAGTTGAAATATCAAGAATCAAAATGATCCAACAGTATTTACATTTACAAATAAGAAGGCCCAGAGAAGTAAGAAAGATGTTATCATTATTCCATCTAAAATGTGATAGAAGGAATTAGAAACCAATTTTCCATTTTGCTTAAATAAAATAAACAGACTCCAAATTATTTACTATAACATCAATCTTAAATGCGCTGATTTTTCTTTTAGTGTATAAAATATTTTCAAGCTCATATTTTTTAAAAAAGTTTTCAAATATAAAAACGTTTTCAAAGATAGACTCCTATAACTGACCAAATGTTGTATGTTATTCTATGGGGTATTCAAATCAAATCAAGAACAAATTTTCAGTTAGGATTCAAGGAAGAGTAGAAGAAAATATAAATAGTATTCTCTGGATATTAAAGATTTTAAATTATTAAAGAACTTTATAAAAATTAATTTATATATTTTATAATAGATAAAGAAAACATATTTTAACAATTATTTGATATTTCTTTCCTCTTAGAAAAAGATAACATCTCTTTATAATCCAGGTATTACTTACAATTAAGTGACTATGGCAATGACAACAATTTGATATTTCACTTCTAGGTTAATCCAAAAAGTGGCTTCACGTTTTCATAAGCCACACAGCCAATGCCTACTGCAGGAAGCACCTTTATGATGTTTGGGGTGAAACCCCTGTAAAATCCCAGTTTTCCTTCCTTGGTATATATTTCTTGAATGAGCTGAACCATAGAAGTTATTTTTCCTTTTTCTACTAGAGCTATAAATTGGAAAAAAAAGTATAATTCAATATTTAATATTTATAAATTAAGATAATCCAAAGAAAAATGAGAATTTACAGAGACTGAAATTACTTCAGAATATATCTCTTTCCCTACCTGTAGAAGGTCTTGTGCTGTTCAATATGGTTGCCATTGGACACATGTGGCTATTTTTTTTAACTTAAATAAAATTAAGAAGTTATTGCCTTAGTTGCACTGGCAACAATCCCAAATGCCCAATATTCACTTGGGAATAGTGGCTATCATACTGGACAGCACAGATACAAAATATTTCCATCATCACAGAAACTTCTATTGAACAACACTTGAAAGTCTTTCACGGGGGGCCTCAAAGAAGTATTTCAAATTGGAATTGACACAAATAAAGAGAGGAAAGGATGGGTGATGGGATGGATTCTCCACCTGGAGAATATAAATTAAATCAAAAATCTAACTAAAAAGACAAGAAGAAAGAGAATGTAAAAGAATATCACTTAACACATAATTCTTAAACAGCTTAGTCAAGAAGATAACAATAGGATTGTATGGTTTTTTTTTTCTCCTAGAAAAGTGATAAAGACATTTTCTTAAAAACTAAATTCCTAACATTTCACTGACAGAAACAAAACAGATATCCTCCCTTTTCTTAGCATCTCTTCCTTAAGTCAACTGGAAAAAAAAATTGAGTTCCATTCCACAAATGTATTAAGTTCCAATTGCAGAATACGACCATAATAGCAGAACTAGGGGAAAATTACACATTCATATGGAATAACTGTTAATTTGAAAAAGCGTAATATTTTCCATTATTCTGCATGGTACTTTCTAATTATGAACTCCTTAAAGAGATCATCAGTAACTGAAGAAAATGTGGAGAGTTCCAAACAAGATTTTGAGATGAAATAAAATCTAAAATTCACAAAAAACTCTAGTCAGTAAAGTAATAAATTCAAGATTCTTGTTTATCAACTCTAGAGTTTTTCTGTTTTTGAAATCATTAATTTATACTCATTTAAAACATAATTTTAAACTTAGATATTATTCATTTATTAAAAAAAAAAAAAAAAAAAAACAACTCACCTGAAGCCTGCATGCGAGTCCTAATAAGATTCAGAGGGAAACTGGCTAACTGACCACAAGTATTAGACAACGTACTACATCCCAACAAAATCATTATCCCAGGATTCACAGAGTTTCCTGCATAATTTTCTAACCAATAATTCTTCAAAACCTGGTAGAGAAGACAGCAGTAAATATATTACTGTGCAACTGCTATGCAACTCTAAATGGAATAAAGTTTTAGTAAGGAGGGGTTATCCCTGTAGTCTTATCAGGAACAGGGTGCACTGATGTTTTCAAACCAACATACAACCTCAGTTTTTGAGTTCCCCTATGTTTTCATCTGTTTTTTGGTGTTTTTGTTTGTTTGTTTGTTTGGTTTCCTTTGCTTGTTCTTTGGTTTGTGATTGTACTTAAAAATCTGGAGATTCTCACAGGGATTACCAGAATATTGTAGTGAGGAAGACTGCACAATCTACTCTAGGTTAACAAAATCATATTTTCTCAACTTTTTTAAGAGCCCTCTTTCCCTATTTTCTCTTTCTTGAATAAAAGTGACTGGAAGAAATTAAGAAATAGTGAGTTTAAAATATCACTAAGTGCTTTCAGAACTGTACATTTATTAAAGGACTATAACTTTACCATTATTCACTGCAATGATGTACACTTGGGTGCTTTTGAAAAAATAAATTTTGAAATGTCTTCACTCAGAATGCACTTATTACAGTCATGTAACAATACAAAGAGAAATATGTAATGGCATCTGGCAAATGTATAAAGAAGAAGATACTGACCTGTAGAAATCAAAGAATGAAGACAGTCCAACATAAACACCAGCAACAAATTTATTGTAATAAGATCATAGATGCAAGAAAACAAAAAGGAAAATAAACACATGCTATAATATTCAATACTCTAAACATCTACAAAAATATAAGTGTACTTTTAAAAGTGCTAAAGTAAGTTATCTGTCTTTCACATGATGGTGACACTACTTGCCAAAAATACCACTGGGCTTGTATCTAGAGAACTGTTCTTCCTGCATTGAGAATGAATTTATTCTAATCATACACTCTCACCTGGTTCTTATGATGAAATGGTATGTATATTGCTAAGATGTTCTTCCTGAAACAGATGTATGACCATGGAAATGAAATGATCAGCTGAAAGGGGAGTAAGCGGGCATCTTGCCTGTGCGTTACACTATCAGCCTTTTTGTCCTACCTTCATCCTGCCTTTCTTTCTTAAACCACAATTACTCCTGTCCTCCATTCTCATTTTTACAAGTGTGTGATAATATCTCAACTTTCATAATCTTACTTATACAACAGATTCTTCTGGGCAGTTACAAAATCTGAATCCTAGGCCTGTCCTCAGGATATTTTTAATATCCTTTTAAATCTATTTATTCACTTATTTTGAGACCAAGTTATAAGACTGGCCAATTTTTGTATTTTTGGTCGAGATGGGGTTTCACTATCCTGCCAAGGCTGGTCTCGAACTCCTGGGCTCAAGGGATCCAACCCCCTCAGCATCCCAAAGTGCTAGAATCATAGGCGTGAGCCACTGCGCCTGGCCTCCTGGGGATAATTAAATGAGAATATCTCAGGATGTGGC